AGATTATTTAAATTGATTTCAATTTTGATCTCAAATTCACATTTTTGTGCTTAATTTAAGATACATCTCAAATGAGATCGCATTTTCGGTCGACATTAAGTTATGCGCTCTTAAGACCACAACTTCTTTACGATTTTATTCACTTATTTTTATATACTCTATGTTTCACCAAAAACTTGATAAGAAATATATACTCAAAACGAGCGAAAAAGCAGTAAAAACGGGTCTAAAAGGCAATGCTTATAAATTTTAAATAACTTTTTTATTTAAGATGTGGTCCTCAGTTGCCATCAATTAATGCGTAAAATTAATTTATGAATAAAACATTTCATGTTTTGTGTTCAAAAAATTTTGTTATGTATATAAATTTTAATAGTATTTAGTCGTATTGAGAGAGAGAGAGAGAGAGAGGGAGGGAGAGAGTCAGTTGCGTCCAATACTTTATTTCACTATTTTATTTGAAGTCACGTTTCGAGTTCTTTCATAAAACTATTTCTTATTTTTTATTCATTTAAAACTTGAATTTTAAGCACTTTTTTAGGCGAAATATTTTCTCCCGTTTTTCTGTAATAGCATTTGATTTATTTGTTCATTGATTTCATTTTTCACACATTAATTCTCGCATCGATTTTTCATGAAATTTGTGTTTTTTATTTCCAAAATATCGACTCATTTGTAAAGTTTTATAAATTAATTATTTTTCTGTAAATTTCATATTCAGTTCGCACTCGACATCGAAGTGGAGACCAAAGAACACAATAGACTGTTAGATAATGTGGTAAATATTATATTTGATTAACATTTTTAATTCTATTGTTTTAGTGCACATCCAATCAGCCCATCCTTTATTGTATAGGATTTTAGTTTAAAAACTCGTATTAATCACAGAAACAGCTCTGGGATAGGGTTTGTCCTAAAATCCAATACCTTTTAGAGTATTTCCGTTCAATGGAAAAACAGCTTATTTTAGCCCAAAATTGTGGGAATAATTGTAATTTTGATGAAATGAATGTTTGTTATAATAAATGTTTGTTTGTCTCTCGAGGACAACGATTTTGACAGTAATTTAGGTTTTCTGACGAATGGTCGCAATCGTGTGAATCGTTTATTACAATCCGGTCGTCAAAACAGAAGATTTATGTGTTATCTCTCACTCGTATTAACAGTATTTTTAATATTAATTTATTACTTTATATCAAAATCTCTTTTCAAAAGTTAATAATTGTTTATTCATTAATAAAAATATTTACAAAATATTCTACAAAATATTATATAAATACAGTTTTTATAAAAGTAAATAAAAATACAATAAATATCATAAAAATTCTTTTCATTCATTAGTAGTATATTTTTATAACTTAAGAATTTGTTAGTTTTCTAATCATTAAAAAAGTAAATCATTTATAGTATAATTAATGTTGTTTTGAGACACGAGTGTTTCAAACCTAAGCTATGATCACAGACTTTAATTGGATTCTACACTTAATGTAACAAAAATTTTATATTAATTTTAAGCTTAGGTTTGAGACCTCATTAAAACTCATTTTGGATTTTTTGAAAAAATATTTACAAAAAACAAGCTCTGAGTCGTAATAATGTCAATGAAATTGTGATACTATAAGGACTAGTCGTATATAAACAAAATCGTTTTTGTTATCTCTAATTGTGTCCAAAAGACTAACAAATAATTTGATGAATAATTACTAAAACTAAGAGCAATGATGCGAATGATGGCCTCAATTGTGAGCACATATTCTTCTCTTCTTTCGTCTCCACCTTTCGATCTTTCGTTTCAATCAAACAAAGTTTTCAATTAATTTTAAAAGTCATCTCAAAAATTGTAAACTCTTTGCATACCTGTTGTGTTTGGTCTCCAAGATTTGGTGGTGGGCTGTGTGTCAGCGTCATACCAGTACGGGTCCCGCGTAATGGCCGGTCGGGGCGCTGGTGGCGTTAGTATAGGCTTCAGCCCCGGGGCCGGTAAGGGTCTAATTGGCGGGTAGACCGATGGCTGGTGGGGTGGCATTGGAAAGCCTTTGTCGGGCTTCCAATTGGGACGGATAGGAACATAGGATGTGATGGGAGGCTGTCGGGGACACGACGCTAAACATACAATCAGATAATGGTTTCGATTAATACTTGAAATTTTGTATTGAGTGAGAGCTTGATATATACCGTGTTTTGTTATCTTCATCCCAAAAATGAGTGGATCCTCTCCCCTATTAATTCAATAGAAATAAATTACTGGATTAAAAATACTGTATTATGAAACAGGTACAGTAAACTTTTATTTATATGAAGGTAATAATAATTAGATGTGAATGTGTGCTAATCGTCATTAAAATAATGATTACAATAACAATAAATATTTTATAAATAAACTTTAATAACAATCATTATATAATAAACTGTTTTATAAATCAATTATTTGAATAAAGAGAGCAAATAATGGATGGATGGGTGAGTGGTTGAGTGCATACCTGACACAACTCTCTCCGGCCTCTTTGATGAACGCCTCGTCACCGCTTCTATAGATTTTTCCGGCCTTTTGTTCAAAACATTTTCAGAAATTATATAATTGTTAAATAATGTCTAATAATATGGGCTAATAGTCTAGTGTTTGCTTACAAAGCACTGGTGTCCCGGCATATCCCTTCTCTGGGTGTATGTGTAGAGCACTCCATCCTCTTCCCAATTACCGAGACATCGATATTCTCTTTCTGTGAACCAAATTACAGATCATTAGAAACTAATAAATTCTTGTAAATGAAAATAATTTGACACAACATTAGGAATGCAATTGAATAGAGGAGTAAATCATTGACTCTGAATATAATAGACGAATGAGAAAAGTATTCAAACAAATCATTTCTTCTATATTTTTCTACTATTTCTGAGACAACCACTCGTCCTCTGCCCTCAACTATAATACTTGAATCAATCATATGTTGGCATAATTTCTGTTTATAACAGAGATTTAAACAAAATTGAGATTCACTTTAGAGTGCTTTTATGTGTAATTCTTTTCTGAAGCCATCATTACTTTAGAAAAAAATAAAGAAAATTTTGGGTTTCGTCTATAAAAATAAAACTATTTCATTGCTATCGTATAAAAAAACTGGAAATACTTTTTTGGTGGCATTTTATCTTACAATTCAAGTGATAAATTGCTAGAAATTGAAGTCCGAGTTACAGCTGTTGTATGATTTGCATGAAAAGAGTGGCCAAACAGCCAACGACTGACTCTGACTATCGTTTAGCAATTAATAAGAGCCTCTAAACATAATTACTCGACAGTATAATAAGGCACTCGTTTCAGAGAATTGCTTTTTATATGAGTTCCATAAGGGAGGGCAACAGACACTGATTTCACGGTTCAGTCATTTCTGTTGTCTGAATTCAAATTAAAATTTTTTATAATATATTTTACTTCTGTTACAACGAGAATTCCTATAATTAATTAAATAATGCATTGGAATCACAATATTAGCAAAGAATGTGATTAAATGTGAAATTATATTATGGAGTGAAATGATGTATCCATGAATTGGTGGTCGGGGTAGTGATGGTAGGGTAGGTGGTAGGGTAGGTGGTAGGGTGGACATACCTTCATAAACATGGGTCCTATTCTCACAACTGCTGACACTGTAGAACATAATGTCGGGATTATTGCAATCAGAGGCCACTTTCGCACAAAGACCAGAAGCGCCCGGAACTACACCACTATAATCACCAGTTATTGGACAAGACGTCGATTGCGCTATAGTTGTCGCTTCAATTGGGTTTAAAAATAAAAGCAAATACAGTATAAAATTATGAAACCATTAAAAATTCTTTTAAATGTGTATATGTAATTATCCAATTATTAAGTATATGCAAATACTATACAAATTATCAGACAATACTATTAGAGTAAAGTTAGTGTTCATTATACTATAGTTAGTGTACATTATATTAGAAACTAAAGTAAAGTATAATTTAAGACTCACTGCCTTGAGTTATCCAATTTGATGAGAAGTGATTGTCATTACATAGGCTGTCAGACATCACTTCACTGGACTTGTGGGCGAATTGGAACTCCAATATATTAGGGGAACGGCGTTTCATCCAAACACAGGTATAAGATTCATCTCCACTGTTGTGTTCATTAGATTTTGTTATTTATAAATATATTCTTCAAAGTATCAAAAGTAATACAATTCTTACCACTGCGTGACTGAATGCACAATAAAGCGATCATTAGGTGTGTTATTTTGTCTCATTACACACCGGGATGTAATTGTGCGGAATTGGTTGGACTCATCCCTGAACGTGAAACGATTGCCATCGATGGTCGACTGTTCCCACTTGCCCTGCATCCAGTCGGGGAACCGGCACTTGGAGTTCTCCACCAAAACCGGCGTTTTCTTATTGGGCACTAAACAAGAAGCAGGAAAGTTAGACAAAACATATAATGCATTGAATCAATTTGACGTTTTTAAAGTGTCTTTTGACTCTCAAGTGTTTCACTTGTCATATGAATCTGAATGAGTATTGAGTGTTAGTGTGTTTTGAGTGGAGGAATGTGTTTATGACTTACGGGGAGATAAAACAAGTGACTCGAAGCCAGTGGTGGCACTCCTGAGTTGGGTCGTACAGGTCGAGTCGGCCGACAGCGACACATGAATCTTACCGGTCGTCGGCTCCTCGTTATACAACTGAAACAAACAAATTATTTGTTTTAAAAGAAATTCCTCTTTCATTCAAGTATTTATAGCTTTTGTCTGTCGATTAGTTTCCGTACAGAGAGTATTATAATTGATTTCTGAATGAGTTTTTAGTGTTGGGATTGTATTACTAATAGTAAGCCGTAGTAAATGTTGTTTGAGATTGGGTTACATTAAGTCTGAAATAGATTTCCGTTCACTGAGTCTCATCTGCAATCTGCAAGTGATGGCATTGGGCAGCACTGGTAGGCAGTGGTAGTGCTGTGGAAGTTGTGAATTGAAGTGCAAGTGTTTCGCCGCTCTGTTATTTGAAAGCTTACTCTCACAAGAGATGATCACTGTATGGATGTGTTGGCTATTATTATTATTATTATTACTATTTCTGTTTGCTTTCGCGGAACACATACTAACTTATGCTATAGAATATCGTATTGAATGCTATTCCGATGGATAGTATGGTATAAATGGAGACAAACTCTATTACTGTGCGATCGCTCCTACATTCCAAACCTCAAGCGAAGCATACATTCAATGATTGTAAGACCAAAACAAAATTGTTAGTGTTTTTACTACAGACGCCTTAACTATGATTTCCAGTCCACACAACATATTCTGCCCAAACATATTAATGTAAAACATATAACATATTGTTCACAGACCTGTACACTATTTGTAAGACTATTTGAACACCACTTGTCTGTCAGACATGTGATGAATAAAGAGGAGGAAAATGAAAAAAAAATTAATTTCTCGCTTCGAGAGGGGACTGGAATGTGGAGTAATTGCCAGAAATGAGTGATTGGGTGACAATTTGCAGTTCAGACAATTGAGTGCAACTCAGGTAACGGCGGTTCGTATTAAAGGGAATAAAATCAGAGATAATTTGGTTGTTCGTCTGTACTGAAGTTTGCTGCATACTGTACTAAACAATAGTTTGGAAGGGAATGTGCGCTCAGACAATGGTGTTGGATAGGTATGGTAGGGAAAGGTATGGTTGAGGCACTCACCCCACAGCGATACTTAGGTCTTGCTTCTGGTTGTTCGCGCAAATCCATTAGTGCCAAATATCGCTCTCCCGTATGACTCTCCCAGTCCCCCAAACAAAGGAAGTGGATGTCTAATGAACAGTAAGCATGAGTTACATCTAATGTGAACATCCATTAATACCATTGTAATGGTTGGTCAATGTTTGCAAATATCTCAGATATACTGATATACTGTATATTGGATTCAAGTCTCACCCATAGTGGGGAAGGAGCACTGTCTGAACTTAGCTCCCAGTGCGTTGCCGTGCGGACAGTTAGACAGTTCCGAGTAATTCTGGTCGCAGTGTTGTTCCCCATTGTTGGCCATATATGTGAATCTATACTTCCCGTTGAACGGACAGAATACGTGTTCCACAGACTGTAAGCCCCCCGGTATGTGTTTACCTGTCAATAGAGCACTCGATGGTTAGCTAACAGTTTATAGACACAGCAACTGTTAAAACAAAAGTTAAGTTCATTCTAAGAAATATTAGATATAATGAGGATCTGGAGACCACCCACTTCTACCTTACAATGCATGCTAAACACACCGGTCCCTCATTTATCCCCGATTTAAGCACAGGTAAGACTACCGGACATATGATAATTTATGAAACTCTGGGTCACTAATTAGATTCGGTGTTTGCTTTAAAGATAATACGAGTCAATAAAATTGATTAATACTAATAAACGTGAAAAATATGTATAAAAATGAACACATTTTCGAGGAGTGCTTTCAGTTTCTACACTTACACTCTCTTTAATTAAATATTTTTATCATTAATGTTAAAATTTTGGAATTTTTCTGAAATAATATTACATTAATTTGAGAAAATATTGATTTAAATGTGAATAAATTACATATTTAGATAAAGCTTTTAAAATGTTACTCATAATGTTTAACATAGTCAAGATAATATTGAAATAGCTTCATGCTATGTAGTGATTCTGTAATAATAATAATAATAATTAAAAATCTAAATTCTGTGGAGAATTGTTCACTTTTTGTGCGCTACAGCTATGGGTATATTACTGTACAGTATATATCTTTATGAGTACATAACTAGAAATTATTTTCCAGATAACTATCAATAAAAGTGCTGATAGTTTTTGTCGAAGACCTGTTATTAATAGTTTGTATTTGAAAATTGAATCATTTTTATTACTAGAGGAGAGAGAGAGAGAGAGAGAGAGAGAGAGAGAGTTTGGGAAAGCTGTGCCTCTAAATCATATGCCATTTAGTAGGTGTGTAGCGATTCTTCAGGCATTTGTTTAAAAGTTTACATAAACTGCATTAACTTATAACTAATATATCACATCCATATCCAAACTTCAATTTCAGCTGAACTCCAGGCGCGCCCACGTTCTCACAAATTGAGTTTTTTTTGTTTTAAAAATTCAAATAAATTCTGAATTGATTTGTCGGAGAAATGCTTTTAATTTAATTTTTTGTTTTTGAATTTCACATAAATAATGATGACATCGAAGGCTTAAATATTTTTGGTATCAAAAAAGATAATTAATTGAAGTTTACTTACGAAAGAGCATTATTTCTTTGAATTTCTTTTCGAGCACATCCTTATCTAGAGGACAGGTAGCTCTGGCCGCGTCCTCGTTGGTATAACAACGCGCCAAACCTTTCAATTATAAGACGTTTTAATTAAAATTTTTGTTGATATCAATAAAAAGCAGAGATTTATAGGAGTGAAGGAAATGAGGGCTCGTTTGGAGTGATGGGCAGCGAAACAAAGAGAGAGAGAGAGAGAGAGAGAGAGAGACATACCTTCAGTGTGTAATTGAATGACATTTGGTGTCTTCATAGTCAGATGGAAACAACGCATACAATCCTCGGCTCCGGTACTGTCTTTGAGTATAACATTATTGCCCCGTCTTTTATGGCATCGACCCCACGGGGGGATCGCATCCGCCTCTATTGTGATCTCAGAGTACGTGACAATACTGCCCCCATCGGCACCTGATGCCTGTGTCTGGATGAGGAATGTGCCCTGGTACTCGATGGGAAAGTAACACCCATGTGATCCTATGTTATATAAATACAAATCAATTAACAATGTTTTGCTATTTTCCAAATAAAAATATATTTATATGTTTTTAAAGGAAATACACTTTTGTTTGACAGTTAACCCAATTATTCAAACATAGCTTTTCATGACATTTCACTAATACTAGTAAACAAGTGTGAAAACTAAATATTATTTAAAAGCGAATATTGTGTGAAATTCATAGACTTGTGAACAATATTTTTATGATATAACATACATAATGTGTAATAACTTATTGTATTATTCAAAACTTTTTCTTTAAAAATATCTAATTATGAGCGAAACGAGTGAAAAAAATTTCATATACACTGTTGCATGTGCTCTATATTGTGGACAGGTATACAGTACTGTATGATAATCACTGAGAAAATTGTAGTTTTATTCAACAATTTCACAACACCAGAGGTAAATGACCACTCATAAAATGTCAGAATTAAATAATCAGAAATTTGAGTATGTTTTTAAAAATAATTATTATTACACTTAAACAGTATAAAGATTAGATTGAGTGTCAAATATTTCATAAGATTCTCAATCGACTATTAAAAGGAATTTAGAGAATATTTTGTGAATTAAAGCAATATTTTTATTACGAAATGTGTGTCACATATACAGCAATTTGAAAACATAATTCACCACAGATTTGATGAGATCAGCCATATCAGATATGAAATTAGCTTTATATTGACTTTGAATTAATATTTATTTAATGCATATCATAGTTAAATCATTCAATTTTCGATTCATTCGTTTCTAAAAGTTATTTTATTTTTTGTTTGTCTCAACTTTTCTACAGACTCTCTGTTATCGTCATATCTTTAATTATAAACAAAAAATTGTTTTTATGACAGACTATGAGATGTTTTGAAAGATTTTTGAGCAGAAATATAATTAATGTCAAAATATTTAATTCAATTTATATTCTTTTGAGAATATTTTGATGGAAAGGAATTTTACAAAAAATCACAAAAATAATAAAATATATGTTAAATACAAATGGAAATCAAATTTAGCAAAGAATGAAGGAATTAAAATAATAATAAGTATTACAAAGAATCAGCGAATATAAGCATGTTTTCAATTTTCTGGTCATAAAGTATTTATTATGCGAAAGTGTAATATATCTCAGTATTAATAATGTATTTTCAGATATTAGAGCCGCACCTATACCTTATAAGTTTTCATATGATTTCGTTTATATTCGGATCTCAATCTATCGGTATGAGTGGAGGACTGGGAGGACTGGGAGGACTGGGAGAGCGGCCACAAGTGCCACAACTGCAGGATTCCCACGACTTGCGTGACACCCATAGTATTCACCGAACACTCGGATTCTTGGGATGGTTTGGCTCTCTTGTGGTCCCTTTTGGACGAGTATCTCATTTAGTGATGCAATTCGTTGCACATCTCATATAAAAGCTATTTTTCATTATATGTTTTCTTAATTTTCCACTCAAACATCACCCGTAAATGGGTTTCCCTTTAAGACTCATGTGTAAAGTGTATTACTCTTAAGTAGTTATTTAAGTGAATGAAAAATATTCGTTTGGCTTAACTCATGATTTATACTGTTATTTGAATACAGAAATAGAAGTCATTATTTACTCGCATCGGCTTTAATGCTGTAAATCAGTTTCAAAAAACATTTCTCATTTCATATGAATTTATTTCATTTCAATTCATTATTCAATCGAAATGTTCAAATATTTTGAGTCAAATTCATTGTATGAATGCATTCGTGCGTTAGTTTACTAATAGAGCACACCATCAATGAATCACGCGATTAGAGAGCTATAGAGCACAGGTAGGTATTCGTGACCTCTGCCTACAAGTGCTATGGTTTTCCAGTGTGTCTGAGAGAGATATGCAATTTTTAGGCAATAGTTTCTAGTCATTAGCCTTTCTATTAGCCAAACCCAACATATTCTCAACTGTTGATTATTATGCGATTGTTTAGTAATTAAATGCACCAAAAAGTCATCAAAAACTGCCAATTCATTGCTCGTGTAGATTGTCTCCCTTTGTTTGCTATTCCCTAATAAGTTGCCAAAAATGTAGTTCCAGTTTCAGTAGTTATCTATTAGAGAGAATGGATGAGTGGTGCACCTGTCCTACAGGTCCTACACCGCAATCATACACTCATTCAGGCGTTACTTCAACTCAATTGATATTTCATTCAAATTACTCTTCGGACAAACAAATAACAATCCAAAGACATGCGAACCAAATGTCAAATGTATTGCCTTTTAATATATGATAATCACATCAATTAAGGCACAAATACTTTTCACTCAAAACTATTGACATTTCTCTATAAGTTATATCAAAAAGCAATGTTTTGACCAAAAAATGTAGAGACAATCGCATGGACTCCAGGATTTGCTTTCACTTCAATTAATATTTGTTTTGTTTTTGACAAAAAATTGCCGAAAATGTTATTTTCAAAGATATTGAGCGGAGAGTGGAGTGGAGCCTGAATTCCAGAGCTCCGAAAGCATGCGAGACATTCAAAAGGTGTGTCCCTCTCATCCTCTCATATAATATGTAACACAAACTAATTAGTAAACACTGTCTGGCCTTAAGATCCTATTTACTTCTTATATCGACAGTTGAGTGCATTTCTCTCCACAAACGCAATAATATTTTAATGACATTTAGATTTGAAAAATGTCAAAAGATTTATGGATTTGCTCTGCCATTGAAAACAAGAGAAAACTCGTAAAAAGTAATTAGAGTTCAAACAAAGTATACATTTAGTTGTTGAGTACTCGACTCCAGTCTTATTTAATCAGTCGAGAGTGAGAGTAGTGATGGTAGGGATGGTAGGGATGGCAATGAGGGCAATGATGGGCACAACTCCACTACTCAACAGACCCTTACACCACATCCTGGTATTGATGTTTGACTTGAATGCCAACAATAATTGGTATTCCATAACAAGTATTTCAAGAATAAGCAATAAATAAGTATAAGCTTTCGTTGAACGCAATATTCAATTGGTTTGCAGTAATGACTGACCACCAAAACAATTTGACAACATTTCCATCAGTGATGGCATTGTTGAACAGAGCCGTGAGTGCCATCAGTGGCATCCATGGCATCACCTGTTGATGTGTTCATGTTTTGTATGAATATAACAGGAAATACATAAGAAAATTGTGCCATCGCTTCAGTGAGTAAGAAGAGAGCAAAAGTGTCACTCGCGAGAGAGTGCCAGCAATGGTAACAGTGTTGCCAACGATGGTAACAGTGCGCCCATGGAGGTCGAGATATGCATGCATGTGCAGGAAATAATGTCCTGCCCTTAAGGTATTACTTCTAATGTATTGATGCCTTTGTTGAGGTTTTTATCATCAAAAGTGAACACAACGACAGACAAAGAGAAGACAATCTTTATGTGCACTTCAATGCAATCGAAGGAAGACTTTCCTATGATTACTACCCGAGCGCTCATTACCTCATAATATGTAAAAATACAAATAATTCATGCATACATTCACCCATTTGTTGCCGATTTTTATGGGTCTCTACTTTTTTAATCTAATTATACGTAAGACTAATACTACAGTAGTATACAGTATATTGAGGTACTATAGAGAGCGCGTGCCGGTGCCGGTCGCCAGTGGTTGCACTGACTTACCAGTGCTTTCAAGCGCTGATAGTTATCTCAACCGTCCATATGGTCTGTTGCAGCCATAAACGGGTCATTCTTTCTGAGCTATTGTTCACAATAATTATATTTTTTAGTATTTATTCCTCAACTCTTATAAGACATTTACAGCAAAACATCTGTTGAATAATGACTTCTCTAAGGCTTAGACCATAAGTAAAGTTATTTTCATTAATTCTTTCATTTGATTATTAATTTCCAGAAACACACAGAATAAACACAAAACGAGTTTTAATTCTTACATATAATGATAATCAAGAGTTTGTCTTATATTTTGTTGTTCAATACAGAAGGTTTCATATAATTAATAACGTTTTCCTCGCTTTGTTGCTACAAATAATACATTTAAAAAACATTTAATGACATACTTATGATTTCCTCTCTCAATCTCTATGTGATTAAACATAAATAAGTAAATGTTTTTCCTGTTGGACACCATATTATAGACATTTAATTCTTCCGATCACTTAATTGTATGCAACATAAGACCTTTAAATTTTAAAACCCCAAGCATTTTGTTATTCATTTTTTAATGCATTCAAATCTAGCCTCATATGACTTATACCATAGATATAGATATGGTTTTAATGTATAGTAAATCACAAGAAATTTGTTACAACAGAGTAGTAATCATTTTTGATACTTGAATAACTGTCTCAGGAGTGAGCAATCATACCATATATTGTTCATAAAGGTATTTCTCATACTGTATTGAAAGCCTGTGGCAATTGTGGTAAACATTAAAATACTTTCAAGTGGTGTTGAGTGGGAAAAAGGGAATGCAATGGAAGTCACGGTCACCTGATTTGATCCGTCCGTCCGGATGTTATTAATGATTATATTACTGACAAAAATAATGCCGCATAAGGTAAGGACCACTGAAAATCTAGTTAAAAGTTTACACAAAAACACAAACTCCTTATAATATAAGGTTGTGTTTAGCTTTCATTAGCAACTTTCTTATGTGCCTCCACTCGGCTTTCCGTCTCATTTGTATCCAAACATTGGTCTTGACTTCAATTATAACGTGAATACTTTGGATTATTTATTTAAAACCTTAGCTCTACTCTAATGGATGCATGAGTTGGTGTAGAAAAGTAGAAAAGTGTGGTTTAATATGCATTTTCACAACACATTATAGTGTATCTGAAATGGATCAGTAGAATGGATGTGCTCTCACACCAGACATACCAGTCTTGAGTTGAGTTCATCTGAACTACAGTACAATTCAATTATAAAACTTCACTTCAGTTTCTATATTTACAATTCGCCAGAAGTAACACAAGTAAGACTAGAGTCTAGTGTCAGGCATTTCGTGCAAAACTCAATATTGAAAACTAATTGGACGGCAATTCTTATGGCAATAATTGAATTCAACTCTTGTTATACAGTATACAGCGAATTGAATAAAGAGAAAAAGTTTTAATCAAAATATTATATAAATAAGAGTTGGCTTTTGTTTTGATTGTTTTCTCTTGCGATCGTATCGTTTCATAACAACATTTAATAATTGTTTTATTCTTATGCTTACAGTAAAGTAAATCTCATTTTCTTTTCATATATTATAGTATTTAACAAAAACTTGATTTTAAACTTTTTTCAGTTTTCAAAAGAGACACAAAAAACAAGTTGTGTTTCGCTTTTAAGAAAACAAGTTATGATTAGAAGAATGAAGTCTTAAAAAATAGATTTCTCTCTCATATGAAATAATACAACAACTGATATAATAATAATACCACAAAAATTGAATC